CTTTAGAATTCTATATTTCAAATTGATTAGCTTGAGCTGCTACTAGTATGTTTGTTGATAGTTCTGCAAAGAATTGTTTGTAATATTTTTGTTTCAGTACTCCTTGATATACAAATACGTGTTTTCCAACGTGAAACACAAGCCGAACTTCACCATTAACTTTCTTTCACATATACTGTGGTAGCAGTCTTAAGTAAAATGAATAAACAAAAACAAGTGTGTTAATGGTGACTCGATCGATATGTGGTCAACAGTCCCAAGAAACCTTTGTTTTAAAGTGGTGAATAAAACAAAATGCTTAACTTAGACAGAATAATGGATATTAAAACGGATGGCTAACGCTTCAAACAGTGAAATACGTTTAAAAACAAAATATTTTAAATGAAACAACGAATTGCTCTAAGACGCTGTACCACGTACTATATAATTAATTCGATTTAATTTGATCCTGCCTTTGATAGTTTCTTTATATTTATAATCTGTTCCATAAATATTTATATTATTAATGTTGGAAACCAATTTTTTTTCCCACAATATTATAAAAGTAAAAATAGAATTTGGAATTTTCAATCTTAACGGCACTTTATCCACATCCGAGCTGAACGGTATAAAGAAATAATAGAAACCTCTACAGCTTTATTTTATCGTAAAGTTAATATAGTAAGGTGGATAAAACAAACAGACAAGTAATAGATAGGTTACTACGAACGTCCCTTTAGAAATGTATCACCATTCTTTAAAGAATATGTGATAATAAAGTCACGTCCTCTGCAAGTTTCTAAATTTATGTAATTTTTAATTTTAAGCTATGAATAAATCTTACCAGAAGCTGTTATAATCAAAGAAAAATAAAGTGTCTTTAAAAAAATCAATAATTAGTATGGAAATCTGTAGGGGAAAAAAACATAAATTCGAAAAAGAGCATTTTCAGGTTTTCAATACATTTCTACCTTTTCCCGTTGTCGTTATGTGTCTCAGGTCATAATGTGATGTTTGGATGTAATAATGATATAAGGACGCACAATATGATTAAATATGTGTGTAATGGATCATTTTGAAACATTTGAAAACTTAGCTCTTAACATTTATATGGTAAAAATAGGCAGTGAGTACTAATAGAATAAACAGTATATCACAAGAAACTGAGATATGTGAATTGTTGTTAAAAGAAATAAAGCTGGAAATGGTGAGAAATAAGGGTAGAAGAATGAATGTTAATGCGAGATGTTTTAAATGGATTTTCTTTTCTTAAGATCTAAAGAAAATAAATCCGGTTTGTAGAACAGGTCTTGAGCAGTAGAAGATATGTGTTATCCGAGAAAGTAGAATCAAACTAAAGAAACAGACTAAACATTCGACACGCTTGAAAGTTCAATTCACTTTTATACATTTACACTTTCTTTGTAAAACGTATAGTAAATACTTAAAAGCAGTTTGTAAAATCTAATAAGAGTAATCACTTTGAACTCTATTAACACTTGTTCCCTCTAAGAAATCAGCGAATGTGACATAAATACTACAGAATTTCAGAATCAACCAGCCTTTGTTGATATGATTAACCCTGTGGAATTTTTCTGAAGAGTGCTTTGCATGTCAATGAGACTTCTTCACGGGTTAGGTTGTTGGATGTTTTCTGATAATAGAGTTTAGCTGCGTCTTTCAGGATTTGTCATCCTAACACATATAATCGTTGTTCCAATATGTTTTCCTTTCTTCTTGTTTTTTCAGTTCGATGCGTTATAAAAAACTAATAAATAATAATTAAGTTAATTTCATATATTAATTTAAAATCATTATTAGATTCAGATTTATCTCGATAACGTTTATAAATAAACACAGGTGGTTCTAGTAATTAAAGTTTCAATATACATATCAGTTTTTATTACCCATAAACACAATTGTCTGTTAAATATTGAATAATCACGTCAAGAAGTTTTTAAAAGACGTTAAATTATACAATGCTTTCAGTTCTTGTTTTTGCCTGTAAACGACGTGTGTTCTTTAAAGGATCAAGGTACAAAAACATCAGTAGCAAAATGAAACGAAATCGTTAATTAAAAGAAATTTGTGCCTATTTTGAGAGCATGGTTTCTTAACAATTGAAAATATATACTTAAAATAATTTTCAGCTAAGAAAGCATTAATTATTACACGTAAACATCTTTGTTAGCTAAATATTTTCCATAACATTGTTTTATTAATTTTATGGTTACAAGAACAAACTTTTATAAATCTATGTTCATGATATATATATTTATAAAATGTGATAATAACTTATACATAAATACGTTAAAATAGCTGTTTTTTCACACTTGGAAATTATAATGGAAAAATGTTCAGTTTATACAACAAGTAGAATTGGAAAACTTTTATACATTAGATCATTCTCTTTCTGATTTATTAATTTAATGTATACTACTTTTCTGTCTAACATGATCTCGTCAACATAATTTTCATGTCATTCCGCCTGAATCCCAGAGTCAGCTGGGATCTTAATAGCAATAATAAAACAACAACTGTCTTACAGTGAATATATTTTGTAGTTTATTGGGTATTCGTGGTAGTGTTTCTTTAGTTATCGATTATGCATATCAGTCATATATATATATTACATTGATTAATTTAGCTTAACGGAAAAATAGTTTCAGTATAATCCAAAACCAATTTTCATGATAGATTGACGTGTTCATCCTCCTTGAAGGGATTCCTAAGTTTCTAAAAAGTTCTATTGATTCCAGCTATATAACATTGCACCATGTGTGTTCTATGAGATCTTACAGTTTTCAAACGGAAAGCAGGATACAGTGGTATGTTTGTCAATAGAGAAAATAAAGGATTTCGGCTGGTATTTATCCTGAAACTGACAATTATTCCCATCGAGAACCTTTGCACATGTGGCACGTTTTCAACTCATTTTTTGAAGGCATACGAATGATGAAGTTTTTCCGACCGGGATGAGGTAAATAAAGAAATCAAATTGTGTTATTTTTAAACATATCATACTAATAAAATGTTCTTTTATGTTTAATACTCTATACGAAAATGAGCGCCTCATTTCTCAATACAGAAACAAATTACAAAAGAAAACGTTCGTATTAGAAATAATCTTAGCTATGTGGTGAATAAGAAACAACATTTAATGTTTATGTTATTCTAAAGAATAGGTTAAATACATCGTTCTTCCATTATTTCATCAGAAAAAAAAAAATCTTTTTTTTTCAAATAATTCCAAACAAGTCTAAATACTTAATAGCAGAGAACGAAGAAAGAAATAACCTTTGAAATTTTAACTGGTATTTTGTTCATATATTTATATCTCGGACTGATGAGAAAACTGCAGTGTCCAACACTGTGTTTGTATAAGACAGCTGTACTGATCTTATGAAGTGTCCCCTTTTCTTATGCTTATAAAATATAAAACCGTCGCTGTCATAATTAATAGTCTACCTGAGTTTAATTGTTAACTAATTACCAACAATTTTTAATTACTATACACAAATTACTAACAATTTTTAATTTCTATACACAAATTACTAACAATTTTTGATTTCTATACACAAATTACTAATAATATTTAATTACTATACACAAATTACTAACACTTTTTAATTATTATTCACAAATTACTAACAATTTTTAATTTCTATACACAAATTACTAACAATATTTAATTACTATACACAAATTACTAACAATTTTTAATTATTATACACAAATTACTAAAAATTTTTAATTACTATACACAAATTACTAACAATATTTAATTACTATACACAAATTACTAACACTTTTTAATTATTATACACAAATTACTAACAATTTTTAATTTCTATATACAAATTACTAACAATATTTAATTACTATACACAAATTACTAACACTTTTTAATTATTATACACAAATTACTAATAATTGTTAATTACTATACACAAATTACTAACTACTTCTTATCCAGCGGTTTTGCTACTAATCTGCTGTAGTTTTCAGGATTATCCTGAAAATGGATATTTTTGTGGCGGTTCAGACCTCCTTATCAAAAAAAAACAGGATCGAATCCCGGCCACTACCTCCACAGAAGTAATCCCTCTCAGGACTTCCTTGAAACGGAAGCAGATTATTAGCCAAAAAGTAGGATAAAAACTGGTTAGTACTTAATATGTAGTAATTAAAAAGAAGCATAAGTTACTAACTAACTAATATTTAAACTTAGGTGAACATAGAGGCTACAACAGTGTAGGCGACTGATATATGATCGCCACTAGGTGATCATAGAGGCTGCAACAATGTAGGCGATTGATATATGATCGCCACTAGGTGATCATAGAGGCTACAACAATGTCGACGATTGATATATGATCGCCACTAGGTGATCAAAAAAGCTACAACATTTCGACGATTGATATATGATCGCCACTAGGTGATCATAGAAGCTACAACAATGTCGAGGATTGATTTATAATCGCCACAGCCTTTTGTTTCATAAAATGCCACTATTTTTCCTCTTTTTGTCATTTTGCTAATTTGGAAAAGAGATCGCCTCCTTTATTTTACTAGTACCGTGTTTAGTACCAGTGTAATTTTCTATACAATATAAAATCCTAAGGACACAATATTTCCCTATTTGTTAAACGTTTCCAATCTTCCTGATTATAGATAAAACATTTAAATCAGTAAGCGTAGTTTATTTTGTTATTTATATACAGTTTCAACTAGTCGTGATTCTAATTCTATGTATTATAGTAAAGTCGTGATTCTAATTTTATTTATCATAGTAAAGTCGTGGTACTAATTTTATTTATTATAATAAAGTCGTGATTCTAATTCTATTTATTATAGTAAAGTCGTGATTCTAATTCTGTGTATTATAGTAAAGTCGTGGTACTAATTTTATTTATTATAATAAAGTCGTGATTCTAATTCTATTTATTATAGTAAAGTCGTGATTCTAATTTTATTTATTATAGTAAAGTCGTGATTCTAATTTTATTTATTATAGTAAAGTCGTGATTCTAATTTTCTTTATTA